TATATTGTGATCTGATTCGTCATGGAACAAAGTAGTAAAAATAATCATAATGCAATGAGAAATACAGTTTATAGCACATTTTTACTGCCAATTTGCGCCATTGGCCCCTCTGACCTAGCCAGGCTGGCGCCACCTAGTGCCTCTGCTCAATTTCATTTCTCTCCAGGGACTAGGTCAGGAATCATAAGACACTAGACGGTTCACAAAAACCCCAGAAGTGCGAGTTTGGGCACCAGCCAATCAGCAAAGAGCCATACATTCTGTGTTGTCAATGGTTCCCGAGATCGAGGATTTAAAGCCGGAACAAAGAGAATGTTTGTTGAATTTATCAAGGGCAAAGACATTATTGCCCTTCTTCCTACGGGATTCGAGAAAAACAATATACCAGTTTGCCCCGTTAGCGGTGCATTACATACGTCATGACCAAATAGCAGTGATTGCTTAAATTAATAAAAGTACCCGCCTACCATCGAGCAAACGAATTCTAACACTGCGAGGTCAGATGGTTTCTACGAAATGAAACCGGCTGATGAATTAGGCTACCTCTGACCATCACCGATCACTCACACCACATTCATACAAATGTGAGTGAAGTGTCTTGCTTAAAGACACAGCAACAGTACCCACGAGAGTCACTGCAACCTCTCTATGGCACCTGGTATTTCAAGCAGTCTCCCATCCAAGTACTAACCAAGCCTAAACCTGCTTAGCTTTTGAGTTCCGACGAGATGGGTGTTCTCAAGGTTGTACGGGAACACTTAAATTATGTAAGAGCTAAGTTTAGAAGCTTCTTGATGCGCAGTAATGAAGGGATGTTCTTGCAGTGGTCAAATAAATGAGGATTTCTTTTTTATTTATTTTTTTATTATCAGTGGGGGCGCTTCCGGCTCCGTTTTCAGTTTTACTTTGAAAAATTGTGACCCCTCTCTCTGTAACTGCATTGAGCCTTGTTTTTTTGGTTTTGAAATGTTCATATTAAACCACTGTACATGATCCTGGTGTTTTTATTTAGCTATTTTTGCCTGTAAATAAATTCCTATTTCAAATATGTAACTTATCTCCAAATTCACTCACTGCTAGCCTCATGAGCTTCATTTGCTGAAGCCGATATGTCACACTCCTGTAGTCCACTTCTTTTTACGGTCTAAAGCAGGGGTGTCAAACTCATTTTGGTCCGGGGGCCTTATCCAACCGACTTTGATCCCAAAGGGGCCGGATCAGAAAGCTCATGTCATATATACCCCAAAAATAACAATAAGTTCAAATATTTGTGCAGAGAAATGCAAATCTATTACAGAAATCTTTTTTAATTGATGAACTCTTTCTTATTTATAATATTATGAACAACCTGAAACTTTAAGAAAAATTCAATTTCAACACAATGTTTTAACATTAACATGTATGCAAATAGGAATAAGTCAATTTTTCTTGGAAAATCCTGCACTCGGCTCCACTTTTCTCATTTTGGACATTTTGTTGATCAGGGTGTCACGGTCAACAGTCAAAACGATCGTCCTTTAAGAGCGTTTGGAAATAGGCAAGTCTTCATTTGTGCTGCTCTGGTGGGAGGGGCCACGTACAGAGACGCTGGAGACGCTGATATGCTAAGCACCGCAGAAAAATACCAATATTTTAATAGAAAATATAATTAAAATATTTTAGTAGAAAATCACCCAAGGGCCACATTAAAAGTCTTGGAGGGCCGGATCTGGCCCCCAGGCCATATGTTTGACACCTGTGGTCTAAGGCTACGTTCAAACTGCAGCCTGAAGTGACCCAAATCCGATTTTTCACCCCATGTGACCTGCATCTAATCTTTTAATGACTGAACAACACAGATCTGATTTTTTTCAAATGCGACCCAGGCTACTTGGATACATGCTCCTAAAACCAACACATATTTGATTTTTTACATCCGACTTCAGTCTAAATGGCCAGGTTGTATTCATCCCACCTACACCTCAGGCTTGGAATCTAGTCAATCGAGGGAAAGTGAGGTTAGCAAGTTTATTTATATTTTGGGGGGTTCGCTGTATTCAGGCCAAATTGGAGCGGTCTTATCAGAGTTGGGTAGTTTTTGAAATGATTGCCAAAGAAATGTCCAGGCGCAGCTACAGGCGATCCTGGCTCCAATGTCAACGAAAAATAAAGAGCCTGCGAGCCAAATACAAGGAGACTAAAGACTCAAACAAACGAAGTGGCAGTGGACGTGTAACCTGTCCATTTTATGAAGAACTGAACAGCGTTTAGGCGACTTCCGTAAACACTGAGCACTCTCGCTGTGTGTGAGGTCGTGATGACCTCCTATAAACATGCGGGACACTTTTGTGACATTTAAAGTTCACACTGGAGATCACATACAAGTCACATTTAACCGGAAATGTGAACAACCTCGCAAAAAAAATCGGATTTCACAAAAAAATCTGAATTGAACATTAAGTCCTGCGGTCTGAACGTAGCCTATGTATCAGATCTTACTCTTTAACATTCACTGCACTTACGTTTATGTTGGATGCCTTGTCAATTAGCATGTAGCAACTCCAGCCCCCTATCTGGCAACCCCTATAGTTTTTAATCTCATTTTGTGATCCTCCCGGTAACTGCAGACCCAAACCCTCCTTACTACCGGCGCGTGTAGGCAGAGGACTGTAATCTGGGCTGTATATTTGTTTACATGTGTCAGAGGCTGAACTCCATGCCCTGAAGCACTCCAATGCAATACCTCCAGAGCTGTGTGCCTCCGATAGTCACACTGGGTTTAATCAGCTGTGTACTGCAGTCTGTCCACTCCAAGTACTGTGTGGAGGAGAGTGTTTGATGGTGATGGAGGCACAGATGTAGAAAGTTGATTTGTGTGCAGATTTTGAGTATTTGTGTGTGCAGAGTTTGAACGTAGATTTGTTTACCGTTCGTGACAATTTATTTGGGTAGATGTTTGTGTTCATGCATGTTTTGTTAATAGATTTGTTTTGACAATAGATTTTTGTTTCACACGTGTTTGACTGATACGTTGCAGCTGCCGCCAACATTTCCTGTTGTTGTGAAGCTAACTGAAAGCACTACTCTGTTAGCTCTGTTACTCAAGTTGGACCTAGCCTGAGCTTTATTTTAACAAAATCTGTCGACGGCAGCTCAATTGGCAGAGCGTTTTTCCACTGATGTGAAGTTTGGTGGTCGGAATCCAGGCTCTTGACATAAAAAAAAAAGCATTGTTGGTTGAGCGGTAAGATCCACAGACCCACAGGTTGGCGGTGCGACTCCAGCTCCCACAGTTGTTGTCATTGGGCAAGACACTTAAACCACCTCGCCCCCAGTGTCTGTGTACACTGGTGTTTGAATGTTTGTGTGAATGGTTCCTTGATATGTGACCGTTTACCATTTGAGTACAGACTTTGACAGTATGTTTGCGAACCAACTTGCATTTGAGACATATTTTGGCTTATTTTATTTACATATTTTAACATTAGATTCTATTCTTCTTATGCTTACTGTGAATTTATGGATCAGTTTTGTTAGTATAGTGATTTTGACTTTTATGAACTCATTTGTCAACGAACAGATTACTATTTTGGTGTACAGACTTTAGCAGTAATAGTATTTTGACATCAGATTTGTAAACCGATTTCTGAACCAACATCATATTTGTGTACAGGTTTTGACAGTATTTCTATTTTGACATTCGATTTGTAAAATGATTTGTGTGCCAGTCTGTGAACCAACATGAGATCTGTGTTCTGTACACAGATCTCATGTTGGTTCTGGTTTTGATATTAGATTATATTATAGATTTGTGAATATTTGTGACCCGACTTCAGATTTGTAAACAGATTTGAACAGTATTTGAATCCTGACAGGAGATTTGTGTATAGATTTTTGACAGTAACAGTATTTTGACATCAGATTTGTGAACATAAATCATATTTGTGTACAGATTTTGACAGTATTACTGTTTTGACATACAATTTGTGACTCAAAAGCAGATTTGAATAAACAGTAATAGCATTTTGACATATGATTTGTGAACCAGTCTGTGAACTAACACCAGATTTGTATACATTAATAGTATGTTGACATCAAATTTGTGAACTGATTTCGAAACCAACATCACATTTGTGTACAGATTTTGACAGTATTACAATTTTGACATTCAATTTGTAAAATGATTTGTGAACCAGTCTGTGAACCAACATCAGATCTGTACAGATTTTGATATTAGGTTATATTAAAGATTATTTGTGAACCAACTTCAGATTTGTAAACAGATTTGAATCCTGACAGTAGATTTATGTATAGATTTTGACAGTAATAGTATTTTGACATCAGATTTGTGAATCGAAAGCTGATTTGAATACACATTTTAACAGCAATAGTATTTTTATTCGATTTATATAGATTTGTAAACCAGCCTGTGAACCAACATCAGATTTGTTTACAGTAACAGTATTTTGACATCAAATTTGTGAACAGATTTGTTGAACCTACATCATATTTCTGTACAGATTTTGACAGTATTACTATTTTGAAATTTGATTTGTGAACCAATCTGTGAACCAACAGCAGATTTGTGTACATATTTTGAATTTTGTCAACTAATTTCTGCACTGATAAATGTGTGTACAGATTGTGACAGTAACAGTATTTTGACATCAAATTTGTGAACAGATTTGTGAACCTACATCATATTTGTGTGCATCATATTTTTTTTTTATTCATTCATTTTTTAGATTTGTTTTTTATTTCGACTTTGTGCCAAGAGAGAAACAATAATCATGTATACTACACATACATTGTAATTTGATTTATGAACCAACAGCAAATTTATGTACAGATTGTGAATTTTGTTGACTAATTCCTGCACTGACAAATGTGTGTACAGATTCTGACAGTAATAGGTTTTAAAACATCAGACTTGTGAACTGGATTATGAGGCAACATCAGATTTGTGCACCAGATTTTTACAGTATTTGAATCCTGACAGTAGATTCCCATGTTTTTTTCAGGTGACTCGCGTGCCGGTGGAGAGCTGTGAGCAGTACACTTCCTGTGGAGAGTGTCTGGGATCAGGAGACCCTCACTGTGGTTGGTGTGTGCTCCATAATATGTAAGTGTCAACCCCTGTTACCACTCACTATATTAAACCCATGTAGAAGGAGAGTCAGGGCACACTAAGCTAAGGGCACGAGTCAAACTGTGTAACATCACCGAGAATGTCCTTTTAAGTTGTGAAAAAATGTAAATCTAAAGGGAAATTTCGGGGTGAATTATGAATATTCAACTGAGATTAAGATTTGACCAGAAAATAGGATTAAGTCTTTAAAAATGTGCATATGTCACCCTTTGATTTCAGATTTCATTAGCATTTTAATTCCCCAATGTTACATGAACTTAGTGATAAAAAACAGCACGTCATGGTTGATTACGTATTAGGGTTGTGAAAAGTATCGAAAATTAGATATTAATTGATACTAAAACCATTATCGAAAATAAATACTCAATTTAACAAGCCCCAATACTAAAAAAAAAAATCCCATAAATCCCATGCAATGATGTGATACTGGTATCAGATACTAAAATTTTTGCTGGATCATATATTGGCTTTCAAATATCGATTCAGCTGAGATCCTGGTTGGACATATAAACTGATAATAAGTAATAAGAATATTTATGGTCATTTATGGTCTCATAGTTTAAATTTCTATGTACGCAAAGCTGTTCTGTAGTTGATAAATAAACACATTTGGATCAAGTACTGTTCTCTGTACTGGTATCGGTTGATATCGGGTATCAGCAAATCCACTTAAAACTTAAATCCATATTATCAGTATCAGTATCGGAACTGGAAAAACTGGATCGGGGCATTCCTACTATAAACATGACAAATCAGCACAAGTATAAAACCACGTTGTAACTTTAGACACCATTATTTAGTGCTGAAAATGACATTATATTGTCTAAGGGTTTTTTTTTTTTTTTTTCATCCAATTTGGTATCAAGAACAGAAATCAAATTTGGAATTTTAGCAGAGGTGGGGACTTGGACTCGAGTCAGACTTGAGTCACTATTTTTACGATTTGAGACTTGACTTGATAAAATGGACTAAGACTCGGGACTCGACTTGGACTTGAAGGTCAGTGACTTGGGACTTGACTCAGACTTGAGGCCTGTGACTTGAGAAGATTTGAAGCACTTTTAAATCTGAATTCTTCCTATTCTGATCATAATGTTTCACACTAAGATCTTGTCAAGACATTTAAAAAGGAAAAACTAGTTTATAGAGTATATAAGAGTTGTAGAAATTCTCAAATATAGGTATACTATGATTTGATACTATGATACTATGATTTTAAGTACAAATGATCTTAAAAGTCAGATAAATTGCAAAAGTCTAAATTATATTTGGTACTTTATATTTGGACTTGAAATGACTTGAAGCTCAAAGCAGACAACTTGGACTTGACTTGGACTTATGGCCAGTGACTTGAAACTCGACTTGGACTTGCCTGTATTTGACTTGGGACTTGACTCAGACTTGAGGTCAAAGACTTGACACTTGCAAAACAAAGACTTGGTCACAACTCTGAATTTTAGTATCATGACAACACTATTGCTAATACAATTACTAACTCAAATGTTTACCAGAACATTTAAAAATATAAAAATAATAACAATAATAATATCTGTTATTGCCATATTAATTCATGTAGCTTTATTGGCACCTCGCATATTCCCCGTCCTTTGGGAAGCCATATGTTGTTTGTATACTCCATCCCGGTGAAACTTAACAGTGTTCAATAATTATCTTTGAATTTCAACATTTCATATTCATAAAACCTCCATCTTCTAATCTTGTATTATTATTTTTATTAATTTATTTTGTTATAGCCCAACGGTTAATAACATATTCAGTTTCTAATACTGTTTAAAAAAAAAATTAAAATAACTACAGTATTTTAGTCTCAAAGCTAAAGAGATCTCATGAATGCTAAAGTTCAGCGTCTCCTCCTACTCTTCCACTTTGAAACCGTGTGTTGGGTTGTGGACATCTCTATTTTATAGGCATTAGGCTAATTAAAGATACATGCATGTTAATGAGAGCAGCTGTTCGGGGTCTATGCCAGACTTTGACTCAAATACTTGTACTCATAAAAGAAAATCTGCTAACAAGGGCAAAAATTCACTCTCTTAAACTCTGCTTTTAAAGAAATTGGCCATAAACCAAATTGCTTTACAGTTTCTTCTATCCAGTACTGCAGTGATAAAAATGTGGCCAAAGCAACTATTTTGCACATAGCAATAATAACATTTTGGCTCTGTAAGTTTGTGTGGATTAAACATTTAAAAAAGTACTACGAGAGATCACATTTTTGTTAGATTGCATATTTGCTCAGGTTTGACTGTGCATTTCACTAAAACATAGTAAACATACATATATTTTAAAGATCCTGTATTATACAAAATTGACTCTTGTGACCTTTTAGCCATCAAAAACATACCTGAAGTTTTGTTTCATTCACACATGTTTGAGAAATCTTGGTTTATAAGTCTGTGTACGTCCCCAAAGTTCAAAATGTTCTGTTGCACCTCGTGATGTCAAGTTAACACAGTTTACCTGTAGTTCAGTAGAAATGGGCAATTCCAGGGCTGAAATCATCCAAATGATTCTGGTGAAGGCATATGGAGTTTAAAAATACAGTGCAGCACTTCCTGTATTACCACATGACATCACAAGGTGGAACAGAGTGTATGCAGGACTTGTGTGTTAAACAAGTGCAAATGAAAACACAACTCCAGGTATGTATCTGATGAGGAAACATTATAACACATCATAAAATAGCACACCACAGGCACTATCTCACCAAACCAAGTCATAATTAGAAAACCATTCAATGCATTTTAAATCCCATGACATCTTAAACTGGGCTGGAAGCGAGGTTATCTGAGTTCACGTTAAAACTAAATTGCTGAAAATTGTTTAAGAGCTCAGCGAAGTTAGTTTCCATGAATAGCAAATCTTAAAGGTTTTCCAATGAAAGCCTGACCTTTCTCTTTGTGTCCGTTTTAAAGATGCTCGAGGAAGGACCGCTGTGAGAGAGCCGAAGAGCCCCAGAGATTCACCACCCGGGCGGAGCAGTGTGTGCGCCTGTCTGTGCAACCACACAACGTCTCTGTCACCATGTCCGAAGTACAGGTGAGGCGCCCAAAATACACTTATACCAACAATTATGGCTGTGTGTTCTAGCCCAGTGCTTCTCAGACTTTTCACCTTAAGTATCACTTAAAATAATACTGGGCTTTTCAAGGATCACCAAATCTAAAGTCAGACCAGGTCTAAATTAGGGCTAAACATACTCTGCAATAAGATTAAGTCCAACTTAAAATACAGAATGGTAGAATGGTGAGTACACCTGCCTCATAGCAAGATGGTCCCAGGTGTTGGCTGGATACTGCATTGCAGTCACCCACAGGTGCTGATTACTCACAGGCATTTGAAAGATGGACAAGGAGTAATAGTATATACAAAAAAATAAAGGAGAAGAAATTATTAAATAATAGTACTATAATATGTATGATATGTAATTTCAAAAGTGAATATTAAATTACGGTCAATAAATAAACAGTAATTTAGTCTTAACACGTAGGCACGCAATATGACAAACCTAGAAGCAAATGTGTGATTGACTCATTGAGTCATTCTAAACCTATTTAACCTGCACTAACATAAGAGTGTAAGGACACAGCACATTGCCAGTTGCCTTTGCCAAGCCAATCATCTGCCTCCTACATCCCAATGATTCATTCATTCATGATTGTATCATATTCTGGTACATGTTAGTGAACTGCAGTCTGAATGCTTAGTACAGAGTTGCAATTATATTATAATAATTAGTAAAGCTTAATGTTTGTTGCAGCATTTGTTATGCATTTATGTATAACTAATTCTAGAAGGTATGCATGTCTGATTTTAAGAAAGTAACCTGAATACCACCAAATACCACTGTATCAGCATATAGTTCTCAAAATGATTATTATCATGATTATGTACTTTGGGGTTTTCATTATTTTCTTTTTTTTTTTAATATCACTCATGACTTTTGTCTTGTGTTGTGGTGCAGCTGATCCTCCAGACACAGAATGTGCCGAGCCTGTCTGCTGGAGTGAACTGTTCTTTTGAGGACTTTGTGGAGACAGAAGGACGCATCTATGGAGGACGGGTCTTCTGTCTGTCCCCAGCTACAAAATATGTGGCTCCCATCACACGAGATCAAGGTACCACCAGCACTAACCAACACTATTCAAACCCCTCTCAACAACATATACAGTCATACTCTTTTTAACAGCCTTAGTATAGCACGCCAAAAGACTTAATGTGCCTACTACTAATTTTACTAAAACACTATTAAGCTCATTACTAGAAAAAGTTTACCATTTCTTTTTGACAATTTTTTACCCCGTGGTTGGAAATCATGACATTATGTTAGGAAATTCCAATCGTTACTTAGCAACCATATTATACACTGGGCCAAAACTCCTCTAATGTACCCAGAAATGAATATTTTAAATTAAATTTTAAAGTATCAGAAAAATTGTGCAGAACTTTTGGACAGAATTTCTCCCTAATGTGGTGTCATCAATATAGAAATAAAACTCTGCACTTCCTGTCATTTTTAACAAATTTTTCAACTTTTCTTTCATTTCTTCTTGATTTGTGTAAAACTATAATTTGTTTTTACACTATTATCTCACCAAATTAAGTAGAAATTAGAGAATTGTCAAAACCTGTCATATACATTTCAATTTTGAATGGGCTAAACATGTGTTAAGAATGATTCAGTCTTAGAAACTGCTCCTAACTCCGAACTGTTTAATTAAAGATGCACAGAGTAACTTTGCAGGAAGAGGCTACTCTACCTGCTTGTCTCCATGGAGATGTATTTGCTTTTCCTAGAACGATCCATTGTATTACATTAAAGTCATCTATCTCCACGGAGGTCAAGTTACAGGTCAGATCTGTGGATAGACGAGCTAAGGTCACGGAAAGGATGATGTTGTACTTTAGGTATTTGTGAGTCCTAGAACACCTGTATTAAATGACTGAAAATAATGCAAATGTTAACCGTGAATCGTTCTGAAAAAAATTATCTATCCATTATGAATAACATATTTTTTCATGATTTATTAAGGCCATATATACGTTTAGTTTTTGTACATAAAAGTGTTGGCTAATACTGCAGTGCGGACAAATCAAATCTAAAGTTTCAATTTGATTTATGCATTTTTAACTGCATTTCTGTGGATCATCGGTTTTGTTTGAAAAAAGATCTTTATTTATGCTTGACGTGTCTCATTCTGTGGCCTGTGTAAATGTCTGCGTATACAAGCACAGATCAGTGATGCAGAAACAGCCTCATAGATTTTGTTATTGATTCTAAAGGCAATACAATACACAAGCAAAATGTCAGACGCACTGAGTGATGCGCTTTAAATTAGGCTTCTAACATTTACACATCTGCTGCTCTTTTGAATATCTCTGATTGGGAAATGTTTCACTTTAGTATTCATTTCTGCTTTTAATATACAAGCGTAACAACAGAAGTTTGTTTATGTATTTACAGCTACTATCCTTCGCAATTGATCTAATCTATTACAAAAATGTGTAAACAAGTAACTGCGATTATAACCATTAACTCTTAAGGGTCTTAAATATACATGTATAATCCTATTTAATACAAAATGGATTCTTTTGAGCTTTGATCAGTGTTATAATGCTGTTACCTCCTCAAAGACATAGACATGGAGTTTGCGTGTGCTGTGTTGTGTTTTGTTTCATTCATACGTTTGAGAAACCCTGGATTTTTCGTCTGTCTACATCTCCAAAGTTTAAAATGCTCTGTTCTACCTTGTGATGTCAGGAAGTAGTAGCTTTCGAGTTAACAGCTGCATTTTACCTTTAGAGATTGGCAATACCTGGGCTGAAATGATCTAAATGATTCTAATGAAGATGTATGCATTTTAAAAACACAGTGGATCACTTCCTGTATTGCTACATGAGTGTTTTCAGTTTGAGACAAGAACACAACTTACAGGGTTTGTGTGTTAAACATGTGTGAATGAAACATAACACAACTCCAGATATGTTTGTGATGAGGAAATGTTATAATGTAGATCAGGAAATCGAGTAATATTGGCCTTTTAAATTGAACAGATAATTTACTTGTCTTTTTCTCTTGTCTCTTGCTTTCATTCAGTATTTTCAAAACTGATACTTACTCAAATGAACAGGCTGCATTAATTCATTCATATTTAGGGGTGTAATGATATCCAAGTCTCACGATACGAAATCATCACAGTACGATATTTATTGTGATAACGTGGTAGAGCTCACATTATGGTGGGGAGGCTCATGATTAGGGATGTAACGATATCCAAATCTCTCTGTACGATATTTTTACAATATACATCTCATGATACGATATCTATTGCGATATTTTGTGGAGGCTAAAACTGTTAACATGTTATTTTTTCCTCTTAAAATGCCTTGACAAGATTTAACCCAAAGAACTAAGACTTAAAAGTGTTAGAACTGTTATTTCCTCTTGTAGTCTACACTGAAATGGAGCAAAGGATCATGGTCTGTGTAGTTCCTCTGTCTTTTTTTTAGCTATTGCTGCACCATAACTCTTAATTTAAGCAAACAGAGTTGTAATTCGATATATTGTGATGGTCCATGATATTATTGTGAGAACTTTGACAAGACGATATCAAGATATTTAAGTTATTGTTACATCCCTATTCATATTGTTTTATCCCAGGTGACCAGCGCATCATCAAGCTCTACCTGAAGTCCAAAGAGACGGGGAAGAAGTTCGCCAGCGTGGACTTTGTCTTCTACAACTGCAGTGTGCACCAATCGTAAGTCCACTATTAACACCAAGACATTTTAAGAGATTGAAATGAGCAGAGTGAATGGGACGATGAGAGGATGAGGACAGAGAAGGGGGCAATGAGATGAGCATCGCATTAGTAGCGAGGTGATGAAAGCCGAGGATACAGGAGGATACTGCTTCTCCAGAGATACACTCTGGAGAAGCAGTGAGGCAGACGGGTATGAAGTTTGGTCTTCCAGGCTGAATTTACACTAGCTCCATTTCTGTTACAATGTGTTAACCGCTGTCTTATGTGTAGAAAGGACCAATCAATACCAGAGACTTGCCCCTTCCCTGCAGCTATAGTGCTAAAATATTGGCCAGCACATAATGGAAAATGCAAGGAACACTCACGTGACCTCTGCTAATTCATTATTCAATGTATTTAAGCTTTTTACAAATCAATTAGTTAATTAAATCGGGAGCGATGAGGGGCCTACTGGTGAGTGTAATACTAAATCGATCGCTAAGCATGCAGGACGTGGAAGAGCAGCCAAGCCTCGGAGACTCAAACTCATCCATCTTGTTCCTGCAGAAATGAATTATCCCCGATCTAACTAACGCTAATATGAATCCACTGTTCAGATCCAAGACCGCAGGGGTTGTCAATGCCGAGTCTGTTTGCATACGCGAGGAAGTGAAGGGGGGATAGTGGTTTTAAGATGATTGGAGATAGTAAATGTTGTATTAGATTAGAGAAATTTTAAGTGTGTCTGTCAATCTGTCAGCAGCTTTGCAATGTCATTCTGGCAATTAAGGCAAATGTGTGCTCTACTAACACATAATTCCAGTTCCAGTTTGTGTGAATTAAATTCATTTAGACAGTTGCCAGTTGCCTTACCCTGCATATAGAAGACATGTTTTTTTTTTCTTTTCTCATTCTCAGTGTATGGATAGGCCATGGTTCTAAGATGCGGAGGCTCCACTAGCACCGATTCATGATCGGTTTGGAGAGTGACCATTCAGATCAGAGAGAGTCATTTTAAGTTTATTTCCAACCAGTTTTAAGCATTGGAACTGGCAACCAAATCTGTCTGCTTTCTGATTGGATCATCCAAAAACATGAGTGTATCCACATTAGGGCATTAAGAAGTTGAGGAGACGATACATACTTCGATACATAGGCCACGATACGATGCATATCTTGATACATATGCCACAATAATATATATATCTTGATACAGTGCACTTTTGATTCAATATAATATATTTCAAATAGATTTGATACGGTTTAATAAAAATAATGGCTAAATAATGGCTGTGATACTAAAAGTTAAACCACTTTTTAAACAGTGAAAATGTCAAATGTCCTGCATAAAAGGGTTTCTTTTCTCTGAACAAGCAACAAAACTGTAGCACTGTAACAAAATAATTGCAGTAAAACCCACAAAATAATTGATTAAAACACTCATATCAATACTGTATCATCACATTTAGCAACACAATATATCAATATTTTGATATTTTTGTACACCCCTAATCCAGACCTATGTTATTTTTAATCAATATTAGAGTTATTATCAGTAAAAGTAATGAGATCTACAATTCAGATTGGTGCAGCATAACAGTGAAACAGTCTTGGTGAGGATCACGTTCACTCATTTCTACAACACATCATAAAGAACAATAATTTTGACCGTAGATCAACTTATAGCTGTAAAAGTGACCAGATGCCTTTCTATTCCAAACTAACATCAAATATTGTAACTGGTATTTACATTTTCCACCCAGAGACAACAACAAATCACAAAGCCCCTACTGCAAATCAAGCTACAATTATAACTCACTGAACATTCAAATGAGCACGTACATATGGCACAGCTCCAAAATGCCAGGATGCTGTTGTTCTGTTGTGTACCACCTGAGTGATGCACTAAACAGAATAGATCATGTAGAGACAAGGCTGATAATGAATGAAGAATGTGTCCCTAATTGAGCCAGCGTGTTAAATAAAGGTTAAGTGAAAATAAATACATGCGCTGGGCTAAATGAGTGTTGGCTGGTGCTGCGTCGTGCCCACTGTTCCCCTCTGTCCACCTGGCACTCTCCCCTCCTCTGTTTATCTGACCAGAGCTGCAGCTACAGGCCAGGCTAAGTGCAAGACTGTGCTGTACGAGAATGTGGGGGGATTATTAAGCAAGAATGCCAAAGGTGTGTAATGTTGGAATTCATGGTACATACATATAAATAATGTCTTGAAAGATTAATATCATGTTGAATAGTAAACGTAATAAAATCGTGGTATTTCTTTTTCTTCTGATTTAGTCCTGGTTCACACTTGTTTGACCCAGTGGAAATTCAAATGCGGTTTGACCTGTTGTAAATGAAATCTTAAAATAAATGCAATGTCAAATATTAATAGATTCCAGACACGTTTGGTTTTCCTGTTATGGGTGCCATTTACAGGAAGATTTGCCCATTCAGAAGACTCAGATACATATTTGGCTTTCACTTGTTATTTGCTATGAAATTTTTCTATCTATTTATCTGTCTTCATGGACTAGCAGATGACACAAGCAGACCAAGTTACAAACCATATCTGTGGAGTGGCTAGTGTCTTTTTTTTCCATTGTTAAACAGGCTTGCAGCATTGTACACAATATTCCAAAAATCCAAGACAGGTCCGATTTCAATCCAAGACTAGATGACTGAGATTTAACGGAGGAAACTCATATATCTTTTTGTCTTTAGCCAGGCTGGTGCCACCTAGTGCCTCCACTCAGTTTAATTTCTCTCCAGTGACTAGGTCAGGAATCGGAATACACTAGATGGTTTGCAAGAACCTTGGAAGTGCGAGTCCAGGCACCAATCAGTCAGCGAAGAGCGATAAATTCTGTGTTTTGAATGATTCCCGAGATCCAGTATTTAAAGCCGGAACAAAGAGAATGTTCAATGAATTTTATAAAGGGGAAAGACGTTATTGACCTTCTTCCTACGAGATTTGGGAAAAGCTTAATATACCAGTTAGCCTTGTTAGCGGTGCATTACATACGTCACAACCAAATAGCAACGATTGGTTAAATAAAAAAAGTACCCACCTACCGTAGAGCGAGCATATTCTAATGCTGCGAGGTCAGACAATTTGCATGAAGTTAAACCGGCTGATGAATCAGGCTAATTGTTTGTAACATTCCAAGCAAAGTAATAACATCTCCATGGAGACAAGCCATGGACATTATCACAATGTGCATTTCAAGGTGTTTATTGCGATATTTTGAAGAGGCAGGGTTATAGATATGATATTTTTTTCGTGACATGGCTTTGGTGCGAATCATTACTGTCATAATCTCAAGCATAAAGCTGTAAAGTATGCAGGTGCATTGCGCAACATTTCTGGTGGAGAAATGAAACCTAAAATGTACTCACGTTTCCACACAATTATGCAGTCAATTCAATGCACTATGTTATAACATCACCAAAGCAAACCCTTATTTCAGGTCAGCTTCTTAAAACTAAATTATCCGAGAAATAATCAAATCTCCTCTGTGGCTGATGAGAGGAGTCCTTTTATGCCCGTGTCAGTAACATTACACGAGCTCCAACAAAGGCCCGGACTGGAGTGCACTTGTTCTTCTCTTGTTCCCTTTCATCTTCCCATGTCCCCTTCTCCTTTTCCTCCTCCTCCTCTTCCCTCACTCCCTACCTCCTCCCTCCCTCTCTCTCTCCCCCTCACCCCGGCCTGCCTCGTTCATCAGGCCCTTTATTGCCTCTGCAGTGCTCTTGGCCTCGCATAGATCTGCATAGTAATAGGCGGTTAATTAGCTGCAGTAGCCGTAGCCCTGTGCTCTGGTGATGGTCCTTAGCGGAGAGAGCTCACCTGGCCCACTCCTCCGGCCCGCAGGCGCTCTTCAATGGCATGGATTCGTTCAGTCCCACTGTTTCTCCCTTTACAAAACTCAAAGGGTGTGTTAGATTAGAGGACCAGTGTTGGCTTTGACTCTCTGTGCCTTTGTGCTGTTTGAGAGATGTAAAATCAGTGTAATATCAGAGTGTGTTATTTTTAGTTTTATTTAAAGTCCTATATGGAGTGAATGAATAATGATTTGTAACGCGCCTTTGTGACATATGTCTGTGAAAAGCTATATATGAATAAAAAACTTACTTACTATTGCGCAAAATTGATTCTTCTGAGCTTCTGTTTTATAATGTTATTACCTCCTCAAAAACATACCTGGATTTGTTTTGTTTCAGTCACACATGTTTGAGTAACCCATTATTATTAGTCTGTCTACATCTCCAAAAGCAAAAGGAGAAACTGAATTTGTCAACTGGACAAAAGTTAATTTGGTCGAATACATTTTGCAGCTCATCCATGCTGTTTCTTCAATTCTTGCGAAATGTTTTCGACCAAATAAACTTTTGTCCAGTTGACAAATTCAATTTCTGCTTTTGCCATGGATACTACCTGGACGACTGAGGGGTTGTACACACATCTCCAAAGCACAAAATGCTCCGTTCCACCTTGTTATTTCATGAAGTAGTAGTTTTCAAGTTAATAGCTTCCTTTTACCTTTAGTTCATTGGAGAGCAGAAATGATCCAAATGACTCTTGTGAAGCTCAATGGAGTTTAAAAACACAGTGGAGCACTTGTATTACCACATGACATCTGAAGGTGGAGTGTGTGAGTGTTTTCTGCTTGAAAAAAGAACTCAGCCTAAATATGCAGGGTTTATGTGTTACCAATTTGTGAATGAAACAGAACATAACTGCGGGGATGTTTTTAATGAGGAAACAACATTATAACACAGATCAGAAAATAAAGCGATATCGGCCCTTTAAAGATACACGATGTAACTTTTCTGGTGGGAGGTTGTTGTTGTGTACAATTGCACTTTTTTGTGTAATTCATCTGTTTTTAGTGTTTATAGGGTGACCATGTTTACCATCTGTCCAGGGACTGCAGATGAAAAATAGCCTCTCTGGCTAATTATGGTGCATTTACAGAAATGTTGAAATGTACACTGTCCCTGTCCAAAAAAAAAAAA